TCCTCCTTGCTAGATGCTAATACTGCTATATCATCTGCAAATCTAAGCATACTAATCTTTTGCCCTTGTACATCTATCCCTACAGTTGTACTGTCTTTAATGATGTTGATCGCGTCTTCGATGTATAGATTAAAAAGTAGCAGTGACTGTGTGCATCCCTGTCTGACTTCCTTCCTAATATTTACTTCTCTACGTTGCTCTAGCTCTATAACTGCCTGTTGCTTTTTATACAAACTAAATATCAATCTGTAACTCATCCCTACATTTTTAAGTATATTTAACATCTTGTCCCATTTAACATTGTCAAAGGCTTTCTCTAAATCTACAAATCCTATGTACGCAGTCTTTCCTTTTTCTATCGTTTTCTCTATTGTTACCGCTGGAATGGCCTCCCCTATTTCTCTATTTCTTCTAAACCCTAATTGGTCTTCCCCTAATAGTTCTTCCATCCTTTTTTTCCACCCCACCCCCCCCTCTGTACAATTCTAATAAGATTTTTGATGCATGGGAAGTTAAGCTACTTGTTCTAAATGTCTCGCATCTATTCTCTCTGGGACTTCCCCGTCTCGTAAATGTGACTAGATAGCTTAAACATACGATCTTTAGCTTCTTGTCCTGCATGTTTTACAATTTCCGCCTGTATCCCATCTATACCTGGTGCCTAATTATTATTTTTTGATACTACATCGAACTCTTCTCTCATTATAGGATAACCTACCTCACCTATCTCCACACTATTTTCCTTCTCTAATATATCTCCTAACTCAGTGCTTGCGTATAGATTCTCTAAATATTCTTTCCACCTATCTACCTTTTCCTCATTTTATAGCAAAATGACCCCTGTCTCGTTTCTTATATTATCACTCTATTATAGTAGACACACTAAATCGGGTTTACAAAAACGAAAATTTTAAAATCAGTTAGGAAATGTGTAAATTTTATTTGGTTCACATGTAAACTGGTCCTCGGGTTTCCTAAGGAGTAATTCTCGCAGTTTTCGTTATTGTTCTACAATCGCTAAAATAAAAATAACAAAAAGGTAGTCAAGTGTATTTCTGTATGTGTGTATGGCATGACAGTTCTGTTATTTATTGGCAAGAAATTAGCGGATGCTTAGCTTTTTATTGTTTGTTCTTCGGTTAACTGCCACGTACAGACATCTCCAATTGAAAGTCATCGTGAATTTAAATTAATTCACAATTGCACGTGAAATTAAAATTTTATTACTTAGACATATGTATATATGACCATTCACATGCGATTCTTGTTCGCAAACTGGCCAAATCGTGACAACAATATGTATGCAATACAGTAAACGAAGTGATGGATTGCTAACACTTTTTGCAAGTTAAATTGCCTGCCCAATAAAATATTAATTCATTTTTATTATTTACTGGGCGTCAATTCTTTTGTCTATAGATAATTTAAAACCAATAAAAAATTATTAAACTTTAAAGGATGTACAAGATCTGCCTGAGTGAAATATGTTGCTTTATGAGAACTTTCATGCTAAAGGAATATAAGGATATGGAGATACCTTCGGAGGTGATCGTAATTATAATAATTACTCCAGAAATACCTAATGGGTATTCACTGACAAAGTAATTTTTAGAACAATAACTTTAGACAAATGAATTAATAGGATTGTACACTAACTTTTATCATTCGATACAACCAAGTTATACCAAAATTCCGTTGTTCGGGGATTCCCCGGCTCACTTCGACAGCTGTTGGCTGATAAAAGTTGTTTTAGAAGTAAAATTTTACAAAATGCTAATTGTCAATACATATTAAAGCACTTATAAATTATATATATAACGACAACGAAGGGACCACTGTAATTTCGTTGTTATATCCAGAAGTTGTTACAGGCAAAGTTAAAGAAGATACAGACACTTTTTTTCAATTTTGAAACAATTTTCGCCTTTTTTAACAGTAAATGTACATCTGGAAGTCACAGTTATTGAAAAGTTTACTAAACACAGTTGCTACTCAGAAACAACGGTAAAGGTAACCACACTTGTTGACTATCTGTGTGAATGTAAACAAAAAATAAGAAAGCTCTTTGTGTCTTTGGCGGCCAACTGCGGTCGCTATATCTGCATGGAATTACTAGGGATTTGTTACAAATGATTCATTAAAAACAGTCGTTATACCCGAACTCGACGTTACATCTGAAGTCGCTATAGCCACATGAATTTTGTACTAGTGTGTTTTAAATTCAAGGGACTTACATATGACGTTGCTACAGCACAATGGTCGCTATAACCAAGGTCGTAATTAATGAAATCCGCTGTATTAAATATTTAATTTGGCAGATTTCCATAATCTCCACAATTTGAAGAGTTAAAAATCGATTAGGAAAAATTTCACAAAAAGGGTACCCGTACACTCGGCCACTTGGTCGCCATTTTTAATCAGTTGTTTTGAGCCAGTTTGACGTTAAAAATTCAAAATATTATTAATCCATGTCAGTAATGCTTTTGTGGAACTCGGTTTTTCTCTAATGGGGAAATTGTGGTCATACGAGCGATACTGCTCATCAGTCAACAAGATCAAGTGAAACTTTTAAATTACTTATAACTTGACTTGCCAGATTGATATATTGAACTAAAGTTAAATAATTGAATCTCGTAGAAAAGACTCTTCGATTTTGATGAAAATGTCAATTACGTAATCTCCTGCAGTACCATTTTTGAAAGTAGCGATTACAAGTGCACTTTTTTCTTGCTTCTGCAGCATTACATTCTCGGTATTTGGTTCCTACATTTATTTTTTTGATGGGACAGAATCTCTATAAGAGTTGTTTATTATTATTGTTCTTATACTATCGAATTTTAAGCAACAATTCCCAAAAAAGACTAAGCAAGTAATGAAAAATACACTAAGAACATCATTTTGAAAGAATATGATGACTGTTTTTAAACGTTATTACGATACTGCACCTAATATTTCATTCCGATGAGAACTGTGTACTTAGAGCACATATTAAGAGTAATTTATACATAAACGTTTTCTTTCAGTCGGTTTATTTTTAGGCTTGCCAACCCGATTTCAAATACGTCTCTTGCAGTAAATATTATGAGTCTGTAAGGAATGTCCACACAGGGGAAAATGGTGGCTGGACGAAAATTGAAGGCAACGTTTCGAAAAAGAAATGTTCCCACGTTTTGGAACTCGAAAACACCACCGGCAATCAGAGTGGAATTTACAGATGTATAGAACATGGGAAGGTTCTTAAAAGTTATGAAGTTGAGATAACAGGTAGGGGAAAGTGGTTACCCTTCGTACACATTTTAGATTTTATTTTTTTATTTTNAAGAATTATTCTTCAAGGGTAGTTTTCACTTCTAAATACTATAATTTTAAAGCTTTTGATAAAGGAAAATCAAGATTTGAAGCGCTGACATTGTTCATGTTGTACTTAAATTTACAGGGGCTGTCTAGGCATGGGTAAAAAAAACTCAAGCTCCCTAATAGGAAAATTAAGGCGTGTAATCGCCTCTACTGTTTTAAACGAAACGGTTAAATATTGATGAGAAAAAATTTTTTGAAATGTACTTTTAATTCAATGACTTGACAAACGTCGGACCGTAAAAAACATTCAACTTTTAAATGGTAGGCTAAAAAATACTAAAAAGTTTTTCGACGTGCAATTGGCAAGGTTAATTGTTTATCAATTTTTCTTGATTATTATCAGCGATGAGATAGAGGTTCTAATTTTGGTTGCTAGCTCACTAATGCTAACGTAAATATTTAAAAGTCATAAACCCATTAGAATAATTTTATTTTTTTACAGTACCCTATATACAGCAGATTGCAATAAAAAGATTACTCATAAAGCGTTTATCTAGATTAATTGAATTGTACATATTTTCTGAGTGTTAAAACTGTACACGTTATCTTAGAATTAGTGAATTTTCCAAACAGCTTTCGCTTTAATTTAATTAGTATCCCTTAATATTTTAACAACATGATATAATAACTGCAATTTTAAATCTTCCCAGTTGTCTATAAAAGTAGCGTAGTGGGTAATTTGTTTTGTTATTATAAATATTAGCTTATAATATTCAGTATTTTGTATCCTGTGCGAAGACAAACTCAGACTTGAATAAACTTGTATTCAAGATTCAAATATTCACTGTATATCAATTAAGGCATCCATTATTGCTTGTGGTATTGTTAGCTGCACCTTAAATTCACCACTAGTAATTTCTAACATAGATTCTTTGCGTTCCTCGTGTCTGTTATTTAAGCATCTAGTCGTTTACCCTACTATGAAGGAAATTCACACAATTTAAACTTTCCTGATTCATCTATTTTTCAATTTTATTCTTATTATGTGTTAAATATGAATAAATAATTGTTAATTTGGATACTATTTAATATGTAGTTAAATTATTTTGTCGCAATTTAATAAATATTCGTTTTTGTTGCAGTCCCTTTTGTCATATCCTTCACTATTTTTTTTTTCAGATTACCTAAGTGACCCTTTCTACCCTCCTGCCAGTGATCCTAATTTGGATTATCCGTTAGTCACGAAACCAGAAGTGATCCAACAACAAAGTGGAGTTAATATTCACTTAAAATGCAATGCGACAATTTGCCACCACAAACACCATTCAAAGATTGTATGGGAATACAAGGTAAACAGAAATAGAAAATAGGGAAGTGCGAAAATAACAATTATTTATAGTGGCAGCATGACCCCATAGGATGCATAAAAGCCATGTCTATTTTTTATGCATACTGTATACAAAGGCATACTAGGCCAGGATCCGTGGTACATTTTTGCACTTGATTACCATCAAGCTAATTTTCCGTGAGTAGCTTCATTTTGATGAGACGCCCAACAACTTCTTGTAAGAAACTTTGATTGTGATAGCTAAGGATAAAATATGTCGGTTTGATTATTCTCAAAAATTTATTACTAACTGGGGTTTTTTTGTCTAATCTCAAGATAATTATCTAAATGATTCGAAGAAATATTTGTCCTACAAAATCATGGTTTGATCAAAGAGTCCCCTCTTTTCAACATGTACCGATAACGAGGTCATCATAAATGATTACTAACCAGCTGATTTTTTTTTACTTGGTTAATATTTATATAATTTAACAGTCACATTGTCCTACAAATTGCGTGGTACGTTCTTCCAGTCCTACCATTGAATATATATTTGAAATTCATGAAATTAAAAAATAATTTATTTCACTCAACAAGAAGTTAAAAAATTAATAATCGTTAACTTAAATTCAACAAAACATTAACAAATTGTTTTGCTACAACAGCTGAGTTACACCGGTATGCATACGCAGAGCATTGCTTACTGCGTATTAGGTATCCCGGGTTATAGTAGGGACATATAGTAATAGGAACATAAATGAATTCTTCCTCCACCCCATAGATTTCCCAGTACATTGGTGTCCCCTACTGCTGAACATAAACTCATTCTTTTAGTGTCTTGACTATAGTGTCGACCATAAGCGTAGAAACATTTTTCCAGTTGACCAC